TTAGTCGTATTAGTACGATGCTTAGTATTGTTAGTCTTAGTATTAGTAGTCATAGCGTTCGTCAGTTCGTCTTATTATTCGTCGTCTTAGCATTATTCTTAATATGAGAACTAATAGTATCGGTCGTATCATTCGTCGCGGTATTAGTCCGTTTGGTATTATTATTAGCCGGCTTCGTATATCTACTACGAGTTAGATTAGTCGCATTCCCATTCGTAGTAGTCGCCATAGTCTTCGCCGTATGATAACTCTTACCATCACTATCCATCTTAATATTATGTTTAGTTTTCTGAGTAGTGGACTTATTGTGAAAATTATTATTCGTCTTACTATCATTCGCTTGATTAGTATTGTTATCCATGAAAGTTTATTTGTTTTAGCGTTATCCTGTTCATGATAATTCTGAACATTATTATTCGCAATACTCTTATTGTGAATTCCCCGTATTCGTACGATTCGTATTCTTGTTTTTATGAGCCCTAGTATTCGTGGTATAATTATTCGTTATAATTTTTTTTTGGTATGATAAACAATATTAGTCCAAGTATGAATAGTAATACTACTCTTCTGTTCCTCCTCCTCCTCCTCCTCGTCCTCGCCCTCCTCGTCCTCCTCCTCGACCTCCTCCTCCTCTTCCTCCTCTTCCTCCTCCTCCTCCTCCTCTTCCTCGTCATCTTCTTCATCCTCCTCCTCATCCTCATCCTCTTCTTCCTCCTCCTTCTACAATTACTCAATATGAATACTACTCTCCCTCTTCCCCTCCCCCGCGTACTGCTTTTTACGCACAGGTTTCCCCGGAATTGGGTTTTCGCCTGCGTTTGTTTCCAAAATGCTGCTCTCGCTGAGGCGCCGGCCTCATTTCCGGGCCCCACTCGTTCCGAATCGTGCTCCCGCTGCAGCGCTGGCATCATTTCCGCCGGCGCCCGGGCTGCACGCCCGAGCCGGCGCCCACGCCGGCGCTCGGGCCGGGTCCGGAGCCGGTTCCGGCCGCCGCCGGAAAATCGAGTTCCGAGGCGGCGCCGAAGAAAGGCCATTCTAATATACATTTTTCTTTTGAAAATGCTGAATTTCTGCTTCTGGCGCCCGGGAGGCCTCCGGGGCCGATTCCGACGCCCGGGCCGGCGCCCGAGCTGGCGCCTGGGCCGGACGCCCGAGCCGGCGCGCACGGGCCAGCGCCCGGGCCGGATCCGTGTCGATGGTTTTTACTTGGACCAAGGGGCTACAGATTAGCATGTACAGTCAACACGCCTCCAAGATGCAGGCGAGCGCATCGCCTTGCATCTTCTCTGTACTGCGGCTCGAGCCTCCCTTCTGAAGGCTCAAGCTCAAGCCAAAGCGGGCGTCCCCGCCGTGGCTCCCGCGCGCCTGCGCCTGACGCGCGCCCTCGGCTCAAAGGAGCGGCCTCTGGCCGCGCCCTCACCCGTCTTGGGTGGCCCTCAAAGGGTCTTTCTTTCGGCGCGGACCTACCCCGTGCTGCTGAGAAGCGCGCCTAGGTGCGCGCCTAGGCTAGCGTCCGAGCGGAACGCTCGGATGGGCACCCTGCCTGGGACCAGCCGCGCGGCCCATGCCGCTGCAGCTAGCCCCTCACTGCTGGCCATGTGCTGGCCGCCGTCCCTCGTCAGACGGACGATGAGGTCCGCCTTCAAGCCGCCCACTGGCAGCTTCCGCCACCTGAGCTCCTCCTTGAGCTCTGCCACGGTGGCCTCAGCCAGCATCTTCCCGAGGTACTCCGAACCGAGGTCTCGCCCTGTGGCGACCCGCTCAGGCGCGGCCATCGCCGCCGCCCGAGAAACGACATTCCCTTCAGGCGCGTCCTTCGACGACGCCTCGGGCCTCGCCGTGTCGTCGGCCTGCGGGGCAGCCCTCGCCGCTCCCGCTGGTGGGGCAGCACTCGCCGCCCTCGATGAGAAGAGCTGTACCGCCCCCCTCGTACACATAACTGCGCCCTTGACCACGAGCACCAGCACGATGATGAACATGATCATGGCGAGAACGATCGAGCCGATGTTCGACTCGACCTCGTCGTCGGCGGCTGCAGAGCACTGCTTGGCTCCATGCTCGGCCGCCTCCGCGAAAGTGACGCCCACACCTGCGGCGAGCCCCTTGGTCAGAAGCCGCAGGTTGGACATCTCCAGCAACTTGAGCACCCGCTTGCCGTCCAGATGCTTGGTCCCCAAGTCGCTCCTGTTGCTCTCCGTGTCGACTCGCCCGAGCTGCAACTCGCCGAGCCTGACTCGTTCCTGCACCCACAGGTCCCGTATCTGTAGATGCCGTACCTTGCCACTGCCAATCCGTGTCGCGATCGCCCTGCCTGCATTCGAGTCGCTGTGAACCTTCGACGCGACCTCGATGCCACACTGCTGATAGAACTGCCGCATCATGATCGCACTCGCCGCGCCTCGGCCGATGGCATAGAACTCGGCCTCTCCGCTGCTGAGCGCGACGACGGGCTGCGATGCCACCTGGGTCTCCAGGAGGTGGCTGCCGAAGAAGCCATACACGGAGCTGGTCGATTTCCTCGTGATCTCATCCTCTGCCCAGTCCGAGTCCGTCTCGTAGAGAACCTCCTTCGGCATCTCCTGCTTCTCGTAGAACCACCCGAGCTCGCGCCGACCGTGGAGATACCGCACACACCGCCTCAGCCTAAGCATGCTGATGACTGTGGGCTTCCCCATGTCCGTGAGGATCACCTTCACTGCGAACTGGATGTCTGGCCTGTCTACCGCCACGTAGTTGACGAGCCCCGCGACCTGCTGGTAGAGCTTCGCCTCGTCGTGTGGAAGTGGGTCCAGCGCCTCCCGGACGCTCTTGCCCGTGGCCTTGCTCCCAGGCGTGTCCGCTGGCTTGCACTCCGTAAGGCCCAGCAGCTCCACGCATCTCGTCACGTGCTTCGTGTCGCCGATCCAGACGAATCCCTTGCCTGTCCACCTGATCTTGCGCTTGAGGTACGGGAGCTCGCGGACGCCATCCGGCCCGACACGACCGATGCACTTGACGTCCATGCTCGCCATCAGCTGCTGGTCCAGGACATCCAGGGACTCCTCCTCGCCCTCGGTCAGGATGTCGTCACCGTGGATCGCCGAGGTCATGTCCAAGAGAGGCTCGTGGTACACGCCCGCCGCCACTGCGATGCGCGTCCAGTTGTTCTTCTTGAACACCCCGGCCACGTACTCCTGCCAAGCCTGTGCCGCCTTGCGCGTGCCGTACATGGCCTTCCGGAGCTGCCACACGTACCCGTCTCTCCTGAGTCCTGGAGGCGGGATGACGACGATCCACTCGTCGAGGTCGGCATGGAAGAACGCCACGTGCACGTCATGCACCGAGAGATGCCTCCGACCCTTCTTCGTAGCCGCCAAGGAGACGATCGCCCTGACGATGGCGATCGGCGGCGTGCCCGCGTTGCAGTCCTCTCGGCCGTACGTGTTGATCTCCATGGCGACGCCTCGGGAACGGACGAAGGGGGCGCCGTCCTTGGTGCGCAGGTCCTCGACCCACTTGAAACGCACCACCTTGCCCCGACTCTCGGCCACGCGGACCTCCTCGAAGACGCCGTGTCGCCGCATCTCCTCGATCTCGGCCTCGCGTCCGCGCCTGACCAGGTCCCTGGGGAGCTCCTTCCCGCTCCTCGCGTCGTACACGTGCTTCTCCGCGTCTGGCAGGACCGTGATCGCCGACGGCTCGACGGAGCCGACCTCGAACATCCCGATCTCCAGCGGCTCGCAGCTCTCGATCTCCGTGACCGTCTCGAGCTCCTCGTGAGACTGCTGGTCTAGGCCCTCATACGTGCAGGGATTGATCTCCACGAAGGCCCCGACCGCGAGCGACCCGACTGTGATCGCCGCTGTCTGGCGCGGCCTCTTCGCCGAAGCCTCGCCCTGGTCATCGCGAGGTGCCATGCTGGCATCCCCGGACGATCCTGGCCTGCCGTCTCCAGCTCCAGCCGCTGGCCCAGGCGCGGCTCCAGCCGCCGCCGGCGTCGGCGCAGCCCCCGCCGCTGCCGACGAGGGCGCGGCCTCCGCCGCTGCCCTGGCCATTTCCTCCTTGCGCAGCTCGTTCTCGATCCTCTTCCGGCACTCCTCGCTGTGCGATCCCATGCCTGTGACGCACCTCGGGCACATGGGGGCCCAGCCGTACTTGTCGATCAGCGCTCTCGTGATGTACGTCGATCTCAGCCCTGCGCCTCCTGGCCCCGTGGGCGGCGCCGGCCCGACCATCGCTGGCGGCACCAGCGCCTCCGGGCCCGCGGCTGGCAAGACCACTGGCGGTGGCGGAGGTGGCGGCAGCAGCCGCTGCTGGTTCGGCTCCACCTGAGGCGCTCCCGTCGGCACGATGCCGATCTGTGGAGCTCGGTGCATGTCCCACGGCACCCCAGCGAACTTGTCCAGCTCCTCCAGCACGAACCGCTCACCCTCCGGCCGCCGTCTTACCGTGCGTACCCTTGTCGTGCGCGTCGGACCCGCCACCAGGTGCTCGTCCGAGACCTCTGTCTTGCCCAGCCACACCGCCGCGTGCCACCGAGGCTGCAGCTTGGAGGTCGGCGTGGGGTCCCTCGCCCAAACGCACTCCGCGAAGTTGACGAGCTCGCCCCGATACGGCCTCCCCTTGAGCACCTCGTAGGTCGTCTTGCCGTTGCCGTGCATCGTGAAGCGGTTGAGCTGCCAGCCAGCGTGCCGAATGAGCCAAGGTAGGAGCCCATGCTCGGCTGGGAGCTCCCGCTTGTAGTTGTCGCCCACCGAGAACAGCAGCGCCCTGATCTGCTTGCCGAGCTCCTCGTTGGCGCGCTCCACTCCACCAACTCCCTGATGGTTAGCCCGCTGAGCCGACTCGATCATCGTGGGCGCCTTCCTCTGAGCCTTGATCTCCCTCGCCAGGGCCGTGATCGACGCCTCCTGGTCGTGCTTCAGCACGATGCGATCCAGCCCCCAGTTCTCGATGGTGGCGACCGCTGTCTTGATCATGTAGGCGTCGGTACCCTTCGGCCCCATGATGCCATGAATAGCCTGGGAGTTCATGTGCACCATGTTGAGGATGCTCAGCTGGCCCAGGAAGTAGTAGTCGATCTGGACCTCGTCGCCCGTGCGCTCGTGCCCAGCCTTGTAGTGTGGGTCGTCCGTGAACTTGGATCTGACGCACACCCAGCACCAGGACCTCGCAGGGATGTGCACCAGCTCGTGCGTCCTCTGCTCGGCCAAGCTTGGCTTCACTGGATCCTTCTTGACTCGGACTGGCACGGACTCCTCGAGCTCTGCCTGCGCTGCTGGCTCGCTCGCCTCGGCCTGAGCGCGAGTCGCGGCGGCCCCTCCGCCGCTGCCGCCCTGGAGCGCGGCCCTCGCCGCTGCCCTGGACGCAGCTGATGCGCCGCCAGGCTCGCCTCCTGGCTCCTCGCCCCGCACCGGCATGACGAGCGAGTTCTTGACGCCTTCACCGTACCTGTCCATCTTGAGGTAGAACAGGTCGTTGCGTCTGACCAGCGGCACGGCGTCTGGGTCCGAGAACTCGATCGGCTTCGGGATCATGTAGCTCCCGCTCGGCGTGAATACCCACGACGTACCCTTGTCGACCGCCTGCGACACGCCCAGCACTGGCCTCTTGACGTCGGCGACCTTGTAGTCCACCCCGATCTTGTGCCCGCCCTTCGTGTACGTGACGAAGCGCTCGCCGTGGCACGGGATGTCGTCGCCGCTCGCTCCGACCAGCCTGATGCGCTCGCTCAGGTCTCTGAGCGTCTCGTGGGCCCCGTGACTCGGCGGACACACCGATCGTGCAGCACCCGAGTCCACCATGACCCAGTGCTCATTGATACCGATGATCTCCTTGCTCTCGAACGTCTCGTGCTCGCTTGCTGCCCCTGGCTGGCTCAGCTGCTCGATCGGACTGGCCCCGACCAAGAATGGCTGCCTCGGCTGCGCGTGCTCGCTTGACGCCTCTGGCGGGCTCAGCCGCTCGATCGGGCTGCCTCCGACCAAGGATGGCCGCCTCGGCTGCTCGTGCTCGCTTGACGGCCCGCTCGAACGACGGTGGATCGCTGTCGTTGCTGGGGCTGAGGGTGTCGCTGCTGCTCCACTCGATGATGATTCTTGCCCTTCTCCCAGCTCTCCCAGCTCGATCGCGAGGCACCACAATGGCTCTGCCCCGCTTTCGGTCGCGATCGCCATCACTGGCGCCGCGCTCCCCGCGGCGCTCGCCGCTGGTGGAGCTCCCGTCGGCTTCGACTCCTGCTCGACGGCGTTGGTGCCCTTCTTCTTCTTCTGCTCGGCGAGGAACTTCCTGCACTCGCTCTTGACGTGACCTGTCTTGTGGCAGTGGAAGCATCGTTTCTCGGCCCTGTCTTTGGCCGCCTGGCTCTTCTGGTCCGTGGAGTTGTCGCTGCCCTTGCCCTTCCTGCCCTTGCCGTCCTTGCCCTTCTTTCCTTTGCCCTTCGACGCCGCCTCGCGCCTCGCCTTCTCCACCGCGCTCGTGTCCATCGGAACTGGTGGCGGCACTGCTGCGATGGCGCTCCTCGTCGAGATCACCATGTGCACTTCGTTGCGCATGAGCTCCCACGTGACTAGCCTCGACGCATTGTGGACCAGATGCGCTCGAAGAGCCTCGTCCTGAATCCCCCTCTGGAGGATCGCCATCTTGCTCCTGTCCCCAATCCTCTCGTGGCTCTGGCTCTCGTACTTCGTGACTTTGAAGTCGAAGTCCGCCAGCATCCCCACGATGTTGTCCTCTGGGAACTGGAACGCGATCAGCTCTTGCAGCAGTCCTGCATGGCGACCTGGTCTGTCGGGCTCGTACATGTCTTGCAACGTCCTCCACGCCCGATAACCTTCTCCGACGCCGACTGGCTTGATGAGCTGCAGTGCGGCTCCTTCCAGCAGCAGGACGAGGATAAAGTACAGCTGGCGACTGCGCTGACTCGCTCCCTCCTCCAGGAGTCTCGCGTTCCTCACTTCCTCCAGCGGGAACGTCATGGCTGCTGTCAGCTCGTTGGCCATCTGCTCGTCGAGGGCCCCGAGGTACGCGAGCATCTTGAAGCTCCACCCTGGCCACTCGTCCTCGCTGCCTCCGAACGCCTTCGGCTTCGCCAGAAGCCGAGTGTCCACCAGGTCCTGAGGCGCGGCCCTCGCCGCTGCCACGGGCCTGTTCACGGCGGCGCCTGCGCTCGCTGCTGCTGACTCCGCCGCCAGGGCGCGCTCCTCTGCAGCCTGCACCCGTTGTTCTGCAGCCTGCAACGCTCCCTCGAGCGCCTGGAAGCGTCTCTCGATCTCCTCCATACTTCAGATCGAGCTTCTCGTCGAACTTCCTACTCCTCAAGATGTCTGCTTTGTTCGACCTCGAGCCACGCTTAGTCTTCTTCTTCTTCTTAGGCGGCGTGCTGGGCTATGAAGGGTCGGCTGGCGCGGCCCTCGCCGCTGCCAGCCGCCAGGGCGCGGCCTCCGCCGCCGCCCTATCGCGGGCGCGCGCGCCCGCCGCGGGTGGCTGGAAGGGAAGCGGCAGCGGGAATGAACCCACGCCGCTCCGCTACCATGTCGATGGTTTTTACTTGGACCAAGGGGCTACAGATTAGCATGTACAGTCAACAATCCGGAGCCGGTTTCGGCCGCCGCCGGAAAATCGAGTTCCGAGGCGGCGCCGAAAAAAGGCCATTCCAAAACACATTTTTCTTCTGAAAATGCTGAATGTTTGCCTCCCGGGCCGATTCCGACGCCCGGGCCGGCACCCGAGCCGGCGCCCGGGCCAGACGCCCGAGCCCGCGCCCGGACCAGCGACCGGGCCGGGTCCGGAGCCGGTTCCGGCCGCCGCCGGAAAATCGAGTTCCGAGGCGGCGCCGAAAAAAGGCCATTCTAATATACATCTTTTGGGGAAAATGCTGAATTCCTGCTTCTGGCGCACGGAAGCCTCCCGGGCCCATTCTGGCGTGCTGCCGCTCGTTCCGAATCGTGCTCCCGCTGCAGCGCTGGCCTCATTTCCGCGTTTACGCTCATTTCGACTCGCGCTCCTGCTACAGCGCTGGCGTCATTTCCCGTGCCATGCCACAGCATGCAATGCAATGCTAGGTTGATACTACGCTTTGCGGTGCTCTTCTACGCCATGCCACGCCGTGCTCTACAATGCATCACGTACCCTTTCGGGATCATTGCCCTGCTCGACATCCGACTGTGCGAGTAGAGAGGGGATCTGCGCCATGGTAAGGGATGGGAGGGAGGGGTAGGATGTCAGATATGACGCGAGCGCACCTAGCTTGCCTTTTCCTCCTCCGTTTCCTCCCTCCTCCTCCTCGTCTTCCTCTCCTCCTCCTCCTCCTCCTCCTCCTCCTCCTCCTCCTCCTCCTCCTCCTCCTCCTCCTCCTCCTCTCCTCCTCCTCCTCCTCCTCCTCCTCCTCCTCCCTCCTCCTCCTCCTCCTCCTTCCTCCTCCTCCTCCTCCTCTCCTCCCCCTTCCCCTCCCCCTCCCCCTCCTCCTCCTCCTCCTCCCTCCTCCTCCTCATCCTCCTCCTCCTCCTCCTCTCCTCCCTCCTCCTCCTCCTCCTCCTCCTCCTCCTCTTCCTCCTCCTCCTATTCCGCCCTCCTCCTCATGTTCCCTCTTCCTCCTCCGCCTCCTCATCCTCCTCGTCCTCCTCCTCCTCCTCCTCCTCCTCTCCTCCTCCTCCTCCCTCCTCCCTCCTCCTCTGCCTCCTCCTCCTCCTCATCATCATATTTCTCCTCCCTCCTCCTCTTCCTCCTCCTCCTCCTCATCCTCCTCCTCCTCCTCCTCCTCCTCCTCCTCTCCACATCCTCCTCCTCCTCCTCCTCCTTCTCCTCCTCCTCCTCCTCCTCCTCCTCCTCCTCCTCCTCCCCCCCTCATCATCATGATCACCATCATCATCACCACCACCACCACCACCACCATCATCATCATCATCATCATCATCATCATCATCATCATCATCATCATCATCATCGTCATCATCATCAGCAGCATCCTCATCACCACCACCACAACCACCACCATCATCATCATCATCATCAGCAGCAACAGCAGCATCATCAGATGCAGCATAAGCTTCATAAGCACCACCACCATCATCATCATCAGCAGCAGCATCAGCAGCATCATCATCAGCATCATCATCAGCAGCATCACCATCATCACCATCATCATCATGGTCAGCACCACCATCATCATCAGCAGCATCATCACCATCATCGTCTTGTTTTTCCTCCTTCCTCCACAGCCTCCTCCTCATCATCATCGTCGTCGTAGTATTCGGATTAGTCTCATGATTCGTGTGGCTTGTATTATTGCTCTGATTGGTAATAATATCTAAATAATTATGGTGTTTCGTCGTTTGCGCATTCTTCTTACTATCAGTGTTAGTCCCATAATTAAAAATAGTAGTAGTAGTGGTAGTAGACTTCGTCTTATGACTCTTACTACTGAAAAGTTTCAGTCGTTGTATAACTAGAATTAGTCGTGTTCCTAAGATTAGTAGTTTGCATGATTTAATGGATTGGTCTTCTTTTAATATACTGAGTATTGGAATTGCTAGTACTGTTATTCGTAATATAAGTACGTCTCGTCGGATTACAAAAATCATTCGTAATAGAATGTTGTGTTGCTGCGCTTCTTCTTATCAGCCGTATTATTACTGGTCATGAACAAGTGTCTTCTTACTATGACTAGTCGTAGTAGTATTCGTAGTATTGTTGTTATTACTACTCGTCATCTTATTATGATTCGCCTTCTTCAGATTCCCCATATTATTTTACGTGATATCATTCATGATAATCTGGCCCTCTCGCCTCAGCGACGCTGGTCTGGGGTCCGTGGGCCCATGTTGCCCTTCATCCGTGTGCTTCTCGACGCAGGCTGGGAGCCCGCGAGCGCCGCGGACGATCTCGTACGCTGGACACCCCCTCGCGGAGAGGAGGGGGACCTCGTCCTCCCAGCCACCGGCCATGAAATTGATCCTGACCCATTTCTGCACGAGCTGCGTCAGTCGCTGCGCGCCCAGCGACGGCGCGGAGCAAGCCGCCACCACAACGGGGCTGGTCTGCAGGCGGGGCGGGCGGACACTCTCACCCAGATGCACCTTTTAGATAAGCTCAGCAAGTCGTCCATCCCGACGGCGCCTCGATATCGTGGCGCCCTCGTGTCTATTTACACTGCAGGCGCCTGGACACGCGACAGATTGGCCCAGGCTGGCTTAATCGAGCCAGGCCAGGCTTGCTGTAAGCGTTGCCAGATGAACGTCCCGGAAAAAGAGCTCCACCGTTATTGGAAGTGCCCTGCCAATGACGAGATCAGTGAATGTTCCAAGTCGGACCGCCTCAGGGATCGCGCCATTGCGGAAGCTGCCGATACTCCTTGCTTTCGGCTCCGCGGAATGATCCCGAGTGGCTGGACAGAAGTGCCGGCCCCCTCAGAACAGCTGCGTTCCTGGGAATGGGCTTTCGGCCAGGGTCCGCCCGGTTATTCCCTGGGGGTTGAATGGGGGGGGAGCGGGAGATGGCACCGGAGGGCCTTTTAGCAGCGACCCCCGCATTCAGAGGTGCGGGTGGGGCTATGTCCAGTTGCCCTCTGCCGCCACCGCCCCCAGTAAAGAGACCCTAGGGGGCCTTGCGGGCCGATGCGGCACCCTCCCAGGTAGGCTCCAGACCGTAAATCGAGCTGAGATCATGGCCCTGAGGTTTTCTGGTCGTATTCTGAGCACTACTTCGCGGTGTCAAGAGCTCTACGAGGGTCCCGGCGGTAACCTGATTGACGGTTGACCGCCTTTCCCAATACCTCGTAGAGCTCTCCGGCTTCGATGAGCTAGAGGAATTTCGGCGCGGGGCGCAGCTAGATGGCCCACCCAGCCCAGGCAGACATTGTGATGCCTTGGGATCGGTTTTCGAAGATTGTAAGAGATTTGAACATTCGTTTTGGAAACCCGGATTTTTGTAACGCGAAGTGGGTTGTGCCGCGTCTGTTTGTCAAATTCCCAGGTCCATAACTGCAATATTACAGTTGAAAGACGTGGAGGAACCGTCGGCCGTCGCGATGCATTGTTCCAGATGATCCTGGTTTCGCGCATTTAACTTCAGCAGAATGCAAGCTAGACAGTTCCAGTATTTTCTGCATCTATAGTAGGTTATGGCGCGTCGGCCTGTCGAAGTCCCAGGCCCGTAACTGCAGCATTAGTATCAAGACACTTGGCGAATAACACCCATGGATTTTTCGAGTTTTAAGCTGATAAGTAAGCTTTCTGGTCGTATTATGAGCACTACTTCGCGGTGTGAAGAGCTCTACGAGGGCCCCGGCGGTAACCTGGATGAGGGTTTACCGCCAGTTCTTGTGAGAGATTTGAACATTCGTTGTGAAATTCCCTAGTCCATAGCTGCAAAATTACTGTCCAAAGACGTGGAGGACCGTCGGCAGTCGGAATGCATTTTGAAGATGAAATGGCTTGCGCACTTCACTCGAGCAGAAACCAAGCTACACAGCTCTGATTTGCACCGATGGATTCAGCATTATGAGAAGGATCAATCTGCATTAGCGGGAGCTTATCGTTCGAGGTATGCCAGGCGATATTTCGAGAACATCGGCGTAGAGTTATGTGCATAAGAACTGTTTTCTATATTAAACTTGAGCAGGTTGAGAAGCAGTACTGTTTGCACCTGTAGTGGTATATGCTGCGTTTTGCAGTGCGATTCTAAGCTCGGCACCTGGGATATCACTATTAAAACACTTGACGAATCCGACTTCGCATCAAATCCGAAAAAATATGTTTTTCGGCTTCTCAGCTGATTGAAGGAAGCCCTATCCTCGAAAACCTTGCACAAATTCGCGTGTTGGGAGCTCTACGAGGGTCCTGGCGGTAACCTGGTTGACGGTTTACCGCGGGTTCCCAGTACCTCGTAGAGCTCTTCGGCATCGATGAGCTAGAGGAAATCCGGCGCGGGGTGGAGCTATTTGGCCCACCCCCCGGGCGGACAATGTGGCAACCTGGGGTCGGTTTTTTTGAGATTGTGAGAGATTTGAACATTTGTTTTGGGAACCCCGATTTTGCTCACGCGAAATGGGTTCTGCCGCATCTGCCTGTCAAATTCTCAGGTCCGTAGCTGCAATATTACTGCCAAAAAACGTGGAGGAACCGCGGGCCGTCGGGGTGCATATTTCGAGATGATGAAATTCTCGTGCACTTAACTCAAGCAGGAAGCAAGCTACACAGCTCCAGTAGTCTCTGCACCTGTAGTAGGTTAAGGCGCGCCGGCCCGTTGAATTCTC